TAGCTGTGCAGGAAATAAGTGAAGAAACTATAAGAATCTGAACGTATGAAGGAAAGAGAACACCGCTCTCTTCTCCCAGGTAAGCAGATCAGCATATACAGCTTAAAAATGAAAGTTCCACATTTTCCAAGTACAAACCTGTTTGTAGCAGGCCTTCCAAAAATAACATTCATAATGACGATGCATTGAATTATGATTGAAACTTAAGTATGAGTGACAACTCACAAAACGCACTTCTTTTTATGTATATGATAACACGATTTCGCGTGCACAAAGGAATTTTTTTTTAAAAAAAAGCAAGACCATGGATATGTTTGGGGGTTTAAAAAAAACAGACAAAGGAAAAAATAAATATGGATGATATGCTTTTAAAAAAAAAAAAAAGGGGGGGGGGGGAGTCCCAACTGTGCAAGCATGTTTCAATCAGGAATGCCTCCAAATTTGGGATCTGAAATAATGAAAATCAAAAAATGAAAAGAGCAAGAAAAATTTAAAAAAAGAATGAGAGAGAGACTTCCCTTGAACAAACACACACATGCTACACAGCATGCAACCAAACCTCCCTCCCCTCTTTCTCTCCATCTCTCTCTCTCTCAGCACTAGAGAGTGACTCACTCTTCTGCTCCTCAGGCTGGCGAGGAGTGGGTGGTGCCTCGATCTCCTCGCGGTCCTCGCCCTCCTCCTCTGCCAGGTGAGAGTGTGTATAGTGGTAGCTCAGGCCAGGACGGTTCTTGTAGCGCTTCCCACAAACTGACACACACACACACGTTCATACAAAAGTGTTATAGTTGTGGCAGCGAATTTTAACTACCGTCCAAAAAGGCCCAAGTTGGAAACAAGGTGGGCGTGCACCTTTCACCACCTCAAAACCAAGTAAAAGAAAAAACATTAAAAAAAACACTAACTTCATTTCATATGATTAATTGTTGACGGACACGCTAGTAGCAGACTCATACAGCGAAGGAGAGCATTTGCACAGTGAGCTTGGGCCAACAGGAAGTTACAGAGCACACGAAGCAGCATCTCAGGGATAAGAGAGAGAAAAGAAAAAAAAGACAACGCATCCAGGCGAGCAACTTTTTCAACTTCTGCGTCGTCAAACTTTAGTTCCAGGTGGGATCTTTCAGATGACTCCATGCATGGCACAAGGCTCATCTTTGTCTTTTAAGAGGGGAAAAGCAAAAGCCTCTCTTGCTGACATGCATGGCGCACACAAACACGTTACACAGAAAGCTAATACTCACTGTCGCAGGCGTAAGGTTTATCCCTTTCCTCCAGCGCTGCAGCTGCGGCCTCCGTTTTCTTCTTGCCATTCTTGTCGCTGCGGCCCTGAACAACAAATTGCACAGTTGAGACCAACAAACAGACCAACTTAAACAACACAACTTACTTTGCATACATCACCTTTAACGGTTTTGAAAAACAATGAGAAGTAAGTGCATTTCTGACAATTGGTACAGATCAAAATGTTTTGGGAAGTGAAAATGAATTGAACATTTTGTGAAATTGGTTCACTGGAGAAATCAAAATTACAAAAATAAACTCTGACACAGGAGAACCAGCTGAACAAGAAAAGCCCCTTTCAGATAAATATGCCTTTCGATAAGAGTGTCAGCTTCATGTATCAGAAGCACATTGGCCAACCGTATCTGTGTCTGAATGACAGAACAGTGTCAGTCAATCAGACTAAAGAAGCCAGTGATGTTTCATATTGTATCTCTGAAGAGATCAAACAATATCCATGGAAAAGAAGTGCGTTTAAGAAAAACGTTAGATTGAGAACTATAAGCATTGCAACTTAAGTAGTAACTGTAAGCACTGTTGTTGTAAGTTGTTTTAATTCAGTTATCTATCAACTATCACTGTTTTAATTATGTAAGACAAATGATGAGCTGATTAATCAAATTAACTGTATTATTAAAAATGACAACATTGAAAACACATTACGCTGACTGCAAATAAGACAAAGGATGACTTGAATTATCAGCAGCTCATCTGGTCACGTTTTTCTTTTTGTTATTGTAAAGATTTCTTTATTTCCTGTCAGAAAGATGTAACATCAAATGTCGGCCAAGTTAATATTTTAAACATATCAGTTTAGACTCACAGTTGGCAATCCATCAGTGAAGAAACAGAACACTAACCTTGGACTTGCTCTTCCCTCGCCTCTTGGGGGTCTCATCCTCAAAGTCTTCGTCATCCAGATCATCCAGGTAGTCATCATGGTCCAGCACTCTCTACCATAAAAATAACAGTCTAATTGCTTCTGCTTGTTAAAAAAAAAAAAAAAAAAATCATTTGTGCCATTTTTGACAAAAAGCATCAGCATCGAGTCAGCTTTGGGTCTGACCTTACGGATGCGCCCAGAGGATGTGGTGGTTGTTGATGTCACAGGAGGCTCCACGGTAGCCGGATCATCCTCAGGGCCTCGAACATCTGCCACACCGCTCCTCCTTTCAAGAGGCTCTCCTTTCAGCAGGGCCTCCAAACTGCTGCCATCCACTGCTCCCAAGGTATCGCGCTTCAGACCCAGCTCCAAGTCTGCTACACAAACAAAGCAGAACAAAAATGCATACAACCACTACAAGTGTAACAGATAAACCAGTGTATAGAAGAAAGAAAAAAAAAGAAAATAATTAAACTTATGGAATGTTTATTTAAATGGAAAAGTTGTTTCATCAGAGGTGGTACCTGGTTTGATTGGGGGAAAGGCCAGACGGGGATCCTCAGGGGGATGAGAACGCCGTTTCTTTCTCCAGCGACGGGCTGGGTAGGTGTAGAGCTGCCCTGGAGCTACGCCTGATGTGACAGAGAAACACCAAAAGCTGAAGTATGTTTTAGTGAGATGACATGCTACACCCTGTATATCAGTTACAGAGATCATCTAAGGAGCTTGGAAAGAAAAGCGACTGGACTTCATCAACCTCTAATCCAAGAAGCTTCAGTTCTTTGGTTCTTCAGAAGCTTCTCGGATAAGAGGTGAAATGTCTTCAAGAAACGTAAGGTCGTCCAGTCGCTTTGCTTTCCAAGCTCCTTGGATTACTATGACCTAGATGACTGAGAACCTACAAATGCTTAAAGAAATCATCCAACACTACTTCGATACCTGCACTTCGGTGTCTCTTCTCCATCCAGATGTAACAGTTGGACTGGGCTACACCAGTCTGAGAGTCCAGGAAAGGCATAAGGATGCTGCGCTCGGCACACAGACGAGCATTATAATTATGACACTGCTCCATGGCATCTCTGTAATACTGCTCTCCAAGCCTGAAAAGTGGAAGTTGGACACTAACAGGTCAAATAACACAAATCAGAGCAGACTATTAATAATCAACTGCTAATTAAACAAAGTTCAAATAATCAACACTGAAGAGATAAGTAAAAATGTATCAGCAGCACCAGCAGTCCTTAAAATGTCTATGTTTAACTGTCTCATTACATTTGTTGTCACAAATGCTTTCGTGGTTTCCCTCCTTGGCTTGCTTTAGCTCAGATATCCCTGCACAGTCAATGGGTGTATCTCTAGCTAAAACTATCCAGAGCTCAGAGCCAGGCACAAGCTAGCAGCCTCAGTATGAGCAAAAGATCAATGCAGTTATGTGAAAAATTATGCAAGCAAGTGAAAAAGATATAAGAGTTATCTGGTTAAGTTATTAACATACTGCAAACAACACACAGCAGAGCATTTTATTTTCAGTAATTTAAGTGAGAGAAAATCCTCTAATTAACTTCAACCTGGGGGACATTTTCAAGTTTAATCATCTCTTTATTATGAAAATAATTTGCATTGAAAAAAAGGTTCAGTTTGATTAATATATCCTGAGTTATAGTTCTTAGAAAAAAAAGGAAATGGTATTGGCAGGTCGCAGTTAAGGGAAAAATCAGCCAAGAAAATTGCAATCAGTGCTTCTCTAGTACTAAACCTTTTTTTCAGCTGCTATTTTTGTTACTTATCTGCCAAGCAAATTTTAGCTGGGTTTAACAGCATGACTATGCTCTGTAAAGAGTCGAGATAAAGTGAATTAAGACACATAAAAGCTTATTTTCACTTTAAAACAGTCTTTTTTGAATGACATGCAGCTGATACATGACTGTGCTATCACACAAACCGGCCTTGCTTGAGCTGCACAACAAAGGAGCTGTGAAATTACTGCAAACGGCACTACCGAACAACCTACTGCGACTTTGCTCGCATATTTCACCACAAACGTCTCTTCTACTGCTTTGCAATTACATCCCAATTTAACTATTTTAACAGTAGTCAATGTCGATGTATCTAAAATGAATAATTAAGGGTTACTGCTCTCCTCATAAATCCACTATTAATTATGTTGAATCACAACAGTAAAACGATGATATTTTTCTGTCTGGGGTCAATGTATTTAATTATTTACTTACGGGCGACACCAAACCAAGCCTAGTTTCATTTGAGCACTCAGCATTATCAGTAACGGTGGAGGGTGTCAGAACAAAAGGTTGATTGTTAGCGACTCTCGTCACAACAAAGCGCCCGCCAACCTGACAGGTTAAAGGAAAATTAACCCGCTTTCATCTGCGTGCGACTGGCTACAAACTGTTTAAAGCTTTTACACGTAAAACCACTTTAAGTACAATTAATACTTGCTGAATTAGGCTTAAACTGAGGCTGAAATGCAGCTCCATAGCAGGGTTGATTCCCTTATGTTTCCCCAAAGCTAACAAGCTAACAGTAGCACGGAGGATAACGTTATCCTCTTGGGACAATTATCGTATTCAATACTGAAGATGCGATGTGCAATTTTTCTGCGCCCTGCCTTTAAAACGATGAATAATTAACTAAAAAAGCGCCTCTGTGCGGCTGCTAGTTTAACTCTCACAATAAATAAAGGTAAACTTACACTTTAACAACACTGTCGACGGCCGCCGCCATATTTGCTTATTGCGGTTGTGTGATGTGCCACTGCGCCTGCGCACAGATTCTGGAAACCGTTATTGCCTCCACCTGGTGAAAAACACGAAATGCGCATTTTACAACAAACTTCTCCGCACTTCGGTTCCTCTACACAACCTTATTCGGGTAAGAGGAGTCATTTGTACTTAAGGTGACTTATAGGCGAAAGAATATGAAACATGAGCAAAAATCTGATGCATAAAATACTAATACGTTTAGAAAATGTGCCATGTGTTGAAATTGTGTGTCTCTCGACGTTTGTTTGGTTTGGGGGGGGTTTGGTTTTAGTTGTTTTTTGTTTTTGTTTTTTTTACTACAACCAAAGTTCAAATTTGTCAACAGAACAAGCATTTATATTTACTGTGAGACAGGATTGTCTACATCATTTATTTTCAAACGCTTCTATGCCAAAGGGCAAGCCAACATAACAATGCACACCTGAGTTAAAGTGTGCTCAAAATAACTTGCATTTTTCGACATATGTAGCATCTGATTATAGCCCCCCCCCCCCAAATTTTTTTCTTTTTAACCTACCATCATATGCTTTGCCTCAGTGGCCTTATCAAACAGTCCATGGACTGTTTGATAAGGCCCTAGACCGTTTGTTGCAACAAACGGTTGTGGAAAATTTAACAATAACCTGCAACACATCCAGCGAGCTTGATTTGAAGTGGGGTTAATAAATACATCGCAATGTGTAGAGAGCACCCCAGTGAAACACTAGGACCATCTCTGAATTGTGGCCACCGCCCTTACATCTTATATACAGGGACACAGACAAAGAACATTCCACAAACTCTTACACGTTGATAAGCAGAAGGAGTCCCACTATCTGTTTAACGTCTCCCATTACAATGGCCTCACTGTGTTAACTGTTACGGATTCAAATATTGGGGATGGATACAAGAGGAAAAACCACAATAACAACACTGGTCCGGCCGGGTTGAGTCAAATGATGATTTTAACGATCACACGCGTGGGAGATGGACACCGTACGCAGACAGCATCAGATCTCAAAATGGTGGAGCATTGATCAAACTCTTATAGCCTCTAATGGCCCCCACCTTATCATAAAAGCCTAAACATTCACATGCTTTCT